TTTAACAGTTTTCAAGGTCACCTCCATTTTTCTAAATAGTACGCTTGTTACTACTATTTTTTAAATAGTACGTTGTTAATAGTATGCTTGTTCATCCTTTGACGATTTCGACGACCTATAGTACAAGGTCATTGGATATTACGTAACAAAATAAAATAGGACGATTCATGTGTTATAAGAGGTCCTCAAAATGGTGTCCGTTTGCATGGACGCAACCCCTGCAATTCTCGAGTTACTGAAGTCTCTTATGACGTAAAAATCGCTGTTTTTCACCTTTTTCTGTTAACGTCGAATAACTTAAACATCCGCTATTCCACCAGGTATAAAATGGTACAGCATGCCGTTTAAACAAAACAGAGATGACCTTGAAATTTTCGAAAATTCTCCAACCACAAATAAAAGTATTACTCTGACATGTTATGGCCACCTCGATACCGTATACCTTCTGTAAATAAAGTTTTTCTTCGCATCTCTAAAAATAACGGAGACATTCCAGGTGGGCGAAGTTACTGGTCCACCTTGTATATTTTTGTCGCAAGTGCAGCGGTATATTTTCATTATTGTAGGGATTCTTTGGGGGTACTCGATGAGAAACGGAACGTTCTACTTCACACGATTACTGTAATTGACAGGAAAAAACAGACAAAATGACGAATAAAAAAAAAAGAAAGATTTGTCTTGCATTTGACACTCAACTATCAGAGGAGACTTTGACGTTGAAACCTGAGGAATTTAGAAAACAACAATAACAAAATGTGAATTCCAACGTTCCGACCAATAGACGCAAATATCCTCTATTTCTGATAAATATACACTTGCTTACGAAATTAAATGAAAAGCGCATAGTTTTCTTAGCAAATCGATTTCCCTTGTCGTTCTGTGCAAAAATGTGTTAAGGTAACGTGATCGAAAAATTCGTAGTTGATGAGATATTCCGAAGTAACGCCTTTATTCAAGAAAAGTGCCCAAACGCTCCATGTTTGTGTTATGTAATACATGTAGTATACTCATGGCAAGTTAATTTTGTAGAAGACTTAAAAGAACAAATAAGTGTACAGTGCACAACAGTAACGAAAGATCACCTTAACTTGGTCATGAGAATAATGGAGAAGAGTTATACCGAGTTTTTAGAATGTAACAGAAAAGCGTTTGATCATCTCCTTCAACCATTTAGGCTCAAGGTGAAGATCTGATCTATCATTACCCCTGTTACTTGCGAAAGTGCTCACTATAACTGATTAATCACTATAATGATACAGTCTGTTTATTGTCTGCTGTCGTCAAATCGTAACTAAATAAATAATGAAGAAAAATTTGTCTATAAAATTTCAAAGATTTTAGTGTTTCTGTTATAAAAATCCTCTGAGCTATTTAGAAAGTGCTCCTTAAAAATCGCTGATCCTAAAAGGGTTAACAAAGATATATATTCAAAATACACTGTCTGGTATAAATATAAAATCACCATAAAATTTGCAATCACTATATATTGTGGTTAAACTGAAAACGAATCACGTGTTTTCTAAGGAATATAATCTATCCTTTTCTGGAGAAACATTATCTTTGATATGTATTTATTAAATTTTCATTATAGCCTCAGATTAAAAAGTTGTAAAAAACGACCTTTACTATTTTCTTCGCGATTCTGACCAGTTGCAATTTTTTCAATTTTTTTTTGACACATCATTTAGTAAACTAATGTCCCTAACTTCACAAAAGAACTCAAATCATTTAGACCAATTTTAAAAAAGTTGTTCCGTTTTAAAGGGCGTACGAATACTTTTATCCGGTACTGTATATAGGACATATGTTTACATGACATTTTTTACTTATATCGGTTTGTAGACTTACCCCCTGAAGTATTGACATGCATTTATGAATCACCCTGTAGAGTATATTCGTCAGAGTCGCGTAAAATTTATTCAACCGTCAGGCTAGAATGAGCGCTCAGGAATCAGTGGTCGGAAAAACATATCGTAAACTGACGGAGCCAGAGTGCATAATCGCGGGCGTTATTGTAATACAACGAGCGGTATTGTTGCGTTAGGATGGATCTACATTATGTATCGCGGGCGACCATTCGTCCGTCCGTCGATCGTACCGCGAAAAATATTCTGCAATATGTTTTCTCCATGAAGATACACGGTATGTTCAAAAAGTTTCAAGACTGGTGTAATAAAAAATTGAATTCTGTTGATTAAGGAATTTTTAGTGTTCAGTTTTCTACATACATCCCTCCTCTAGCTACACACTCAGTACAACGTTTATAGAGTGCTTTGAAAGCCTTGGAGAATTCCTCTTGTGTTACCCTGTTTAATTGCTCGGTTACTGCCTGTTTTATTAAATTCTCCTCTTCATAATAGGTCCCTTTCATTGGCAATTTGATTTTCGGGAATAAAAAAAAGTCGGTAGGTGATAAATCTGGCGAACACTGTGGATGGTTAATAACAGTTACGCTTTCTTTTGCCCGAAATTCTGTGACGATGATTGACGAATGTGCGGGTGCGTTGTCGTGGAGCAGAAACCATTCACCCGATCGGTAAAGTTCGGGCCTCACACGTCGAATTCTAATATTTAATTCGTTAGCTATTATTTTTATCGTCAAACAACGGTTTCTAGATAACAGGAGACGAACACATTCAACATTCGTCTCGGTGCAACTTGTCGAAGGTAGTCCTTTTTTGTCATCTTCAAGTGACTGACGACCTTTAAATCGTTGGAACCACTGAAAAACGAAGCATGACTCAGACAATCATGTCCGTATGCTTTTTGCATCATTCTGTAAGTTTCAATCGCAGTTATTCCACTTTTAAAGCAAAATTTAATTGCGGCCCGTTGCTCCATGGTTGTAATCGTGAGAACGTATAAAATCAAGTAACTTTTAACAGCGTAGTACTAATGAACAAATGAACATCGGGAAACAGGAAAATTATAGAGCACTAAGGAAGGTCTAAATTATTTAGTATCATCTCGATTTCAGAGATGAAGCTAATAGTATATCTGTAAGAAAATCAGTCTGAGAACTTTTTGAATATACCGTGTTTATCCAATACTTTTACTGTTCGTCGCCACCAATCTCGTCTAGCGGTGTGCCTTTGAAAATTATTCCGGGTCGATTCACATTATTCGATGGGCAACCGACCGTCAAAGGCCCCGTAGAAACATTTCTCCATAAGTTTTTCATGGATCTGTTTACCTTGTTCTGTTAACGCCTCATTAACAAACACATTTTACCCCTTACGACCAAACACTTTATTAGAGTTTCAAAGCTTTCTGCGTCTACGTGGCAATTCTAACGCAATCATTTGAAACATATAAATATTTTACATTTTCTTTTTTCATTCATTGTTTACAGTCGATATCGACAAGTGAAATAAATGGAATTTTCTTTTCGGTTTTTCTGTTTTGTATACGAACAATTTTTCTTGTTCTGTCTTATGCTACAATTTGCGCTTCAAACCGATCATGTATCCCCCCTCCCCCCTGTCGCGGGAAAAGTAAACAAAATTTTCAATTTTCATTTCATTGAGTGGAATATTTCTTAATACGTAAATCTGCCATTCAGAAAAATGTCATAAGTTGAAGTAAAATACTTCCAACAAGACTACACTAGTATCACCTTCTTTAATATGTACATATACGAAACGCTATGGAATGAATGAGTTTCTTTTTGTTCTCCTGAAATGTTACATGTTTTCGACTTGAGACAATTCTCTTGCATCGCACACTGGTCCAGAATCAACATTCAGCAGTTGAAATGGTCAAAAACAAATTCCTTTCATCGTCCAAAAAAAATCAAATCACCTTTTTTTATTATTAACCATATTGACCATTCATGACCATTTCATCCATGCATTATTATTCTCCTCGGATCCTTTTATATCATCAGTTTTAGTATAAAATTAAAAAAAATCCCCTAAAAATCCAGACTCTCATGAAGTGCTGAGAACAAACTGTCTGTGAATATTGATGTCATTGAAGAGGATTCCTAAAATTAATACAAATGTTCATTCACCTACTAACATCTGAATCAAAATTTTTGATTCTGAACTGTGCGTTGTGATGCGATTTTGGTACATATTCTACGTGAGCGTAAAAATTTTCTATCCAGGTAGACCATTTCGCGAGTCTGCCTTTAATCGTTACAACGATCGTCTTATCGTTTGAAAAAATCGTTTGAAAAGAACACAGACTCACCCAGTCACGAGGCACAGCGGGATCCGAGGTTATGTTGTTTCTGCAAGAAAAAAGAAACAGACACGTTAGCAACATGATATTGGTGATATACGACAAATGGGACAAATTTCAAAAGCAATAATCGAAGCGCACGACGTCATCGACATCACTGCGACGAGAGAAAAACGTTCATGTATTTTAACGCCGATTTTGAAATGGTAATATCCGTTCCGTTCTGATCCGTTGAATAATCGATCCTGAGATCGATTCGTATGAATTTCTTGGTTTAGTAACACGTGTCCCACGCCGGAGAATGCATTTTACGAATACACTGGGTGTCTCCGAAATAGTGCATAATGAGAATTTTTGTATCGTTCAAGTGACAATTGCATGAAAAAGTTACTTGATTTCAATTTGTTCATCCTAACACTCTTTTTTAATACACTTCTACATTTTCCTTAGTTTCACGATAATTTTTGAGATCGTTGCGAAAGAAATTTTCGAGTCACAGTATAATCTGTATAAATCCATGGGATATGTTGGATAATATTGAAGGGTTACATACCTTGGAGTTGTTTAGAGGGAAAATTAAAAAATTTGTTTGTATACACACAATTATTGTTTATTAGAAATTCAATATATAAATCTTATTATGTTACTTTCTTAGTAATTTTTGAAAAATTGAGCTATATATTTATTAACAGAAGAAAATGGCTTCCATTTAATTATAAGTCATTTTATCAAAACACCATTTGCGGTACCATATATATGTATCTCTGTGGGCTTGTTTTAATTTCATATCGAAGCAGACAAAAAGAACTAGGAGTTGTCGAAGCCGATTTTGGAAGTATCAATATTTCACACAGACGGCTGTTTGAATTTAAACTTGTAGTTTCCGACATAAATTTTCAATTTCTTTTGTTAGAAGAAAAAAGAAAAAATACACGAATGAAAAATTCGCTTCGTCAAGTGTTAACTTTTAGTCTTCAGAATATTACCATAAAGTTTCATCGTAATTGGTTCAGCAATCTTTTAAATATTCCTTGTACCGATTTGGAAAACTGCATTTCAAGTAAAACGCTTTTAAATGGCAGCCATTTTCTTCTGTTGAAACAATATAGAATAAAATGTATATGTTGAATTTTGAATAAACAATAATTCTGCATATACAACAAAATTTTTTTATTTTCCCTCTTACTTAGCAGCTCAAAGGTATGTAACCCCTTAAATTATACAATAATGTAAAATTAAACGCTTTGAGAAAAGAATCATGATATACCTTCTGACAGCTAACGTGAAATTATGAATTTATAGTGCATATATCGTTAGAACAACGAAGGTAATGAAGATTACATAAAGGATTAAATAAATTGTTTTGCGTAAGAATTTTGTCTCATATATGTATATAGTTTTAACCAAATAAATACTAAGAATTTTACAATCAGCCTAGTGTGTGAGCAAAAACGAACAAAATATACATAAGAGAACAGCGGACGTATAAATGGACGGTTCTTTGCACGCGTTAATGGATCACTTTCGTGTAGATTACTTTGATCTCGAGTCTCCGGCGAAAAGTCAACATCGATGACGAATAGTAGACTGTCGTTGATGGATAATGATGAATTTGAACTCGGCCATTTGTTGTAGCTGCCCTGGCACGAAAAAGGCCTTGTCACGCTTTATCGGTTTTTTGTTTTTAAAGATACCAACTAACCGTTTTTAAACTTCCGACAAAAATGAAATATTGAAATTTTACAAATTATCCGTCCAAAGATCAACAAATAACTGTGGAACGAATCTAAAAATACTAGTTGTTTCCATTTTTGCATTAATTTCACTGTATTTTTTCTATTATACACAGTAAAATAAGAAGGTTAACCCTCGTACATTATTCAATAACTTATTACCATTACGACAAGGTAATGTATTTATCTGTAATATACAGAGTGTTTCGTAATATGTGGGCTCCACTTTAAGAGCCGATACATCGTACTTGACCGTGATCTTTTATTAAGTCTCAATGACTAACTGAGGCAGTATAACTGATTCATCAAAACAAATCTCAACTAGTTGTCGAACTCCTTGAAATTTGTAGAAGACTGAAAAACAGATGAAACAACAAATACTCTCTTTTGTTTCTGTTCCCGGCACACTTTTGCACCCCAATAATTCGTAATGATAAATCGCCAAAAAGTGGTAATGGACTTCGACGAAACTTTTCAACGGCTCAGTAATACTCAGTATTAACCCACAAGAATAAAGAAAAATACTAAACCACCCCAAGAAAAGATATACAACTCCTTGTAAATCAAACAAAAGTCTACAAATACTTTAGTAGCCAATTTGTAGTGCCAACTGATTGTGAGTCACTAATAATCCACATTGGGAGGTTAATGCGACCACAATAAAAAAAAAGTGTCTTGTTATCAGCTACAACACAGCGTCAAAAAAAATGCATTGACCTTGAAGAAGGTCAAGGTTACCTTGATATCTCAGAAAATATAAGATATACAAAAAAATCAAATTGCATCCATCTGATTGTTCCTTCAAAAGCAAGATAATTCATTTTAAACGTTTCTTGATACAACTAACAGATAACGAGTTGTTTCAGATAATAATTCTTATTGATTCACCACCTTGTATTGGATTTGGTTGCTTATTTCTAAACGTTTCATCGAACTACCGGCTGCGGACACGTTCGTTCCCGTGTAATTGATAGCGAACGTACGGAAACAATTATCGTGCCCGCATCAAATTGACCGGCATACACTGTTCCCGCATAAGAGACAGACGGAAGAGACCAAGATGCCGGAGCCCTACACAGTGTCGAGAACACCATTTATGACCCAACACGTGAACGTATACAGGGTGTCCCTGAATAATTGGGAAACATTTTAGAGGGTGGAGGAGCTATGCCACAAAATAACGTGTAAGATATTAAGGGGTTACATATCTTTGAGCTGTTGAATAAGAGGGAGATTAAACAATTTTTTTGTATATGCAGAATTATTGTTTATTAAAAATTCAATACATGCAACTTATTATATGCTATTTCCTTGGTCATTTCTGAAAAATTGAGCTATATATCTACTAACAGAAGAAAATGGCTGCCATTTAAAAGCGTTTTACATACTTGAAATGCAGTTTTCAATACCGGTACCAGAAATATTTTAGACTACTGAACCAATTTGGATCAAACTTTATGGTAGTGTTCTTAAGACTAAAATTTAGCACTTGTCGAAGCGAATTCTTCATTCGTGCATTTGTTCTTTCTTTAATAGCAAAAGAAGTTGAACATTTATATCAGAAACTACAAGTTCAAGTTCAAACAGCCGCCATTTTGTAAAATATTGATATTTTCAAAATCTGTTGATAGATATATAACTCCGTATTTCAGAAATTACTAAGGAAGTAACATATAATAAGATGTATATGTTGAATTTTTAATAAACAATAATTCTGCATATACGAACAAATTTATCATTTTCCCTCTTATTTAACAGCTCAGAGGTATGTAACCCCTTAAGGATCTTATGAGAAATAGTGTACATCATAGTGCAGGTAGTAATTTTGCCACATAGTTAACTCAGAACCTTACTTTATAAGGGATAATAACTAAATAAACATCAAGAGATGCTAGAAGTAATTAATAACTCATTTTTCAACATTTTGTAGCATAGCTCCCTCTTGCAGTGGACTCCTAAATTACAAAAGTTTACATAAACATGTCTCTTTCACAAGTGATGATCAAGATGATCTCGCGTCTGAACACAAGCCTGCAAACGTCGTATCAATGACTGATCTTTCTCTCTATATCGTTCATTTGCTGCAGCAATCAGTGCAGAATTGGGTCTGAAAATACTGATTGCCAAGAGACAGGGGAAAGGAGCCACTTACAATTACAATATATTTCTTTTAAAAATAGTAATGGATTGTAAATTTTAATTGCACATATGACTATGGAACTTTTATTTTATTTTCAAGCTACCATCAGCTCATTACCGTTGTTAACATATTCATTAACATATACATAGCGTATTTTAATCATCATTGGCTTCAGAATTCCACGCTCTATCACTGTGCTAAACATGATTAAAAAGTCAGCGTTATACCTGAGAACCTTTCCTTATCAGTGCCTAGGAGCCTTCGAACACTCATCGAGAATTTACTGTAACTTGAAAACAAAGTCAAATAGGACATTATAGTTATATAAACTTTTTTTTATTGCTTTTATGCGCTGATGCCACCCCTAAAATATTTCTCACTTATTCTGGGACATTGTATATACGGAGTAGTACGTTTCTTCCATGCGGCACAGCTAGCCGACCGGAAATCGTCCAAAGAAATCGTATTTCCGATATCGCGGACGGAAGACAAATAGAGTGGAAGAGGGGAAAGGGGAACGCTTTGAGAATGGTGAGCTTATCGTTCGGTTCACCGTTTGGCTCGCCTCGTGCAACCGAAAAACTGTACATACATATATTCCAGGGCATCTAACACTGATCGAGAACGATAGGACGGGGTGAACGCCATTGGATGAAACAGAAACATCGGCTGATTCTGTGAGCAATGTCCTTCCTGTGATTAACGTTGATTGTATCTGGCCTTTCAGGCGATATTTGCGTGCTGATCGTTGATCATTGAACGTTCTGAATTATTAAACGTCTTTAACCTCTTCAGGGACGAATTTATTAAGGCCAGACGAAAATCATTTCTTCCTTATGTTTCAGCTATATTTAGTTGAAGTATATTTACAAATATTAATGCCATCAATTGGTAGGATATCTTTCTTTTTTTTTTTCTTTTGTGGAGAAATTTCCTAGTGAGTATTTAGTCGCAATAGGGTTCATCTTTTGGAAATATGCTCGAATGAAAGAAAGTCTAAACGTACAGATGTGTGCCAGTATCCCTCAAGAGGTTAAAGCAAAGTAGGTAAGTATGTTCTACGAGCCATTTACAAAAAAACAGAACGATCTTCAATCCATCATACTGACACCATTGTCGAAGAAAAAATACGGATTTAACCTGTTCTTAAAAGCAAATTCTGCTTTGTATACCGTG